CCCAGAAACGCTTATATCGGCAATGGCAAAAATGATGGGTTCTGGATGGATTAAGTTAGATCCAATCTTTGCAATGGAGCCTTTTCGTCCTTACATCGATGGCACTGAATATATCGGTCAGCCAATGGAACTATTTAGAGAAGGGAAATGGCAAACAAATAAACCTATCATTTTGGGGACAAACGCCGAAGAAGTAGCTGTGATAAAATATATTATTCCAATACCGAATGAATATATTTTCCGGGTAAGCTATTTTGTATCAACATTTTACAGAATAAAACTCAGTTTCAACGCATTCAATTCAGTGCCAATTATTTTTACAAACATTAATCTGAATGAAATATTAGAATGGTTTGAGCGAGTAACTTCACTGGAATTGGACCGTTTAGACTTAGAGATTCAGTAATTTTAACGTTAACAATACCTCTTTGTAGGGATTAAATGAAGCGCTCTTCGAAAGCGCGGGGAAATACGAAAACACCGGAGAAAGAATTTCTGAGAAATACATAGAAATGTACGGACCCAACATCACAGACTACGGCGAATTATTTGGAATAGAAATGACAGACATTTGGTTTGGATGCCCATCAAGAGCGCTGGCACGGTGAGATGAGGAATAAGCAATAGCGTAAATGTAGCCTAACTCAAGAAGCATTTTTTATAAAGACTCTTTACGACAATAAAACCATGGATATATATATGTGAGACACTTGCGTGAACCCAAGAAGCGTTGCTCGTGTATAATCAAATATTTCTTTGCAGCGTTGTCGTTAAACACGAACTGTTTTTTGGATTCTGCTGAATTTCATTTACTCTTGTTTATTTAAAACAGGCTAATAACCCCTCAGCTCTTGTGATTATTTATTCGGAGCAAGACCTTCTGTCAACAAGTTTGTTTTCCAAAATATCCTACTTCATATTATTTTAGTTTCAGCAGAACTGAGCATAAAATTTTTTTCTAACGTGCATGAGCACCAGTTGTTGCAAGATTTTGACGACGAATTCCTTATAATTTTTGGAGGGAAGCAAATTAATCCAATGAAACACCGTATAATTAATGAACATTTTATTTAGCCGAAATGAAAAAAAAGATTATGATAATACATTCACTATACATTATACATAGTAACTTATTCTGTTTATTACGTATCTTCTCTTTGTAGTTACGCATCGAGAACGACAGAAGAATCTGTCTATTTCTACATCTTCAGCCACGCGTTAGATGGTAATAATTGTGAAGAACTTCTTGGAAACTTCTGCGGACATTCGTACCACGGTCACGAACTATTCTTTGTGTTTAGAACTATAGAACATAGGGGGTAATATTTATTTTCATTCATTTATTTCAAAAACACATTGCTCGCTAAACTAAATATACGACTCAATAACATTTTTAATTGTACATTGTACTTAGAATAAGATAAAATTAGAACATACAAACATGTTTTAGTTTATGTAAATGAACCAAATCTACAAAATATATTAATTCAAGAGCCTATATATATACTGAAAATTTGTGTCTTATATCCAGCTTTTTGTGTAAAATCCTGAATGTAGGTAAAAACTAAGTCTGATTGTACACTTGCTGACGTGAATATTTTTCACCGAGCATTACAGATCATATTATGTATTGTGATTTACTTTCCAGGTTCATTCCAGATGACCATGACATTGTTGTGTCAAATCAATTTAGTACGTACTGGGGTAGTTTTGCTCGAACCGGTAGTCCTTCAGGTGGTCTCGAAGTTCCATTGCCAGGAAATTTTCAGGAATGGTATCCGTATTCAGAAACCTCTACACAAAACGGCAAGCCTTGGGTGAATATGAGAATCGACGATCCTGAGAGTTACCAGGAAACTGATTACTTGAAAGAAACCTGTGATTTTTGGGATAGCTTGGGTATTTATGTAGATTTTACAAATGATGTAGATGCCTCTACAATGGCTTCGTTTACAACTGATGTTCAACCGCCGGCCACAACGCAAGGTGTTGGTGAAATAGAGACAACAAGTGAATCTAACCAACCATCGCCGTTCAACACCTTCATATTGTTCACAACATTTTTATGTAGCATTTTACTTACCTAGTTTTTGTCGTATCTAAATATTTGAACAGTTTACAGTGGTACAAAAATATGAAATATTGGACACGAAATGTACATATGAATCGTTATGTTATTATTATTATGTTGGTGTGATCTTGTTGGCATTTTTCTTTTTGTTGTTATTTTTCTCATTAACTAATTGATGAATTGCTCTGAAATTTTCAGTGGTGAAAGAAGATTATCTTTGTCGCTAGAAGGCTATTACTTTTATTTATTTCGAAACGTTTTGTAGGCTTTATGTGATTAGTTTTTCACTTCGAAATTTTGTGTGATGACGACCTTGATATCAATAAAAAACTATTTGTAGCGGTTCTTCGACGGTACACCTCAATGAATAAATCACGTCGTTACATGAATATTTTGCATGACTGATTTCGATAATCACGCGATCAACGAACCCGTTCGTTTACGTGACGGTACTCTGCCGGCACCCTTGAACAGACTTTTCTATGTGCATTATATTTGTGCTTAGTTCTTCTGTTATACTTAATGATTGATGGACCGTACTTTTCCGAATACAGTTGAGTTGATTGCTTAGTTTGATGGTGTTTTCCAATCAATTTGTTTTATTTTTCTACGCGGTATATCGGCAAATTCAAATTATAATTAGTATCCTGTGATACGAAAAGAAGTGTACAATCATGATTTGCTATTAGATCTTGTGGTAAACTTTCAGATGATCATTTCCTGATTGCTGAAAAAGAAAAGCAGAAGAATATCGGATTATTCAAATGTCGCATTATACATATATACATAATAAAATACTTTAAATGCGAATTCATAAAACGAGTAAACACTCAATGGTCACAGCAACCCAAAATATTCTAGTATATTATCGTTTTTACTCAAAGATTTCCGCAGGTGCAATAGCAATGTTGCCTTGTTTAGTATACGATATGCTGAAACGACTTACTACATTACCTGATCTGGACTACCGAACTTCATTGCGAACCGCATGAGCTAGTATTTGTGATTTGTGAAGTTCCGTCGCTTTCCGTACTGCGCATTTTCTCATTTTTCGAAACAGGTCCTTTATAAATTGGGCTCGTTTTACGTTCTCTTATCAATTCTTTCAATACTTCGCGTGGATTTTCATGAAGCTTTAATACAACTGAAAAAGCATAATAACAAATTTATCAGTGGTAAATCTTAATATCGAGAACATGCAATGCATTTATGCAATAGATCACATCGAGATAGGATAAAAAATGTAATTATAAAAAGATGGACACATTGGTGTTGTAGCACACTTTATTTTCAACTGAATACATTTTACACAACTGCGTTGTTGTCATGTTACTATACATATGAATGTATGTATGAAGTAATTCAGTGATACGGACTGCAATGTGATTTCCCAACATTTAATTGCGCGATAGGATTATGCCTATACTGTACTTGCATACTAATTAATTTAAATAACCTTTTCTTTTTAGTGGTGGAATCCAGTCTGATACATCCAATCTCGGATTACTTATTACAGCAATATAAGCAAGAATAATACACTTGATCGGTTCAAGAATGAACATACTTTCCAATATTGCAAATAGAAGGGAAATTAACCTGAAACACAAGTGAGTCAAACAAGTTGAATGAATGAAATTATTCGGAGTATAATACAGATCGAGTACAGTGTATTGTATACATATGAGCATAAATTTATGATTTAGTCTTTGGGCATCATTTTTATCAAAAACTCAACTTATTTTGTGCAACTATATTTATCTATAAAATAGGGTTTTCAAGTACCAACTATTGAATATGCACCTACCATTTCATTGTGTCATTATATCCGTATGAAATTCCGTAAATAATGCTGAGTACGCAACATCCAGTGCTGACAACGCCAATTATCATCCATCCTATATATCGGGAAAACCATGGAAGGGGTTTGAAATCAGATGAACTTGGGTCAACATCCATAATTGCAATTTCCGTTTGTGTAAAACTAAATGAAAATAATCGTTTAGTGGGAAAACAGAAATCCTGCTTACTATTCGTACAACTTTGCATATATGAGTTTATTACCGATACACGATTAATCTCTGTACCTGAAATTGCCTATATGTGAAGAAGGTTTTGGAATCCTCATATTTTGTGAGTTCCTCGATTTCCTTCTTTCCGTGAGCGTTTGCGCTTCTTGTTTTTTCGGTCTGTGGTTACTACTTTGCTTCATATTCGAACGCTGATCACGCGAAGCTTTTCTCTTTTTGTTCGAAAAAGCTAATTTTTTCTCTGATTTCGAACCCTCCATTGAGGGGTGAGGTGATCCTTTTTCTGTCGACAACTTTTTCCTGAGTTCCGCACCTCTGTGGTTCCTAGACTTTGAGATATTCGCGAATTTACGGCCCGTGATGCGAGAGCGATTTGATGTTGTTTGCAAATGTGAATTTGATGACTTTTTCCTTTGCTCGTCGTTGAACAACTTCATTTTCGATGCTAAGTAATTTTGCGAAATCGTTTCAAGCGACATGTTCTCTTTGCCGAGGGAGTTTACAGAGTCACGAGCTCTTGAAGATTGAAACATTACGGAGACAATATATGTGATGGGAAAACACAATAGACCACTTTCCAAACCTGAAAAAAAAACGATATTTTATTCAATATTCTGTTTTCAGTCACGACCTGCTGTTCCAAATCTTGTTATTAGTATTATGACGTATTATTATAGACGGCGATTACCTGCAATAATATTAGATGCTGATAATAAATTCAATATATCATAATCATCACCAATCCGTCCATGAAACATTAGTGATGTAACGATGATCATCATTATAAGAAGAAAGCAGCAGCCAACCCGTTCAATTCTATTCATATTGTAACAAGACCATTCTCGTAGTGCAAAGATAGAGTACCAAATGTGACTACAAAAAATAACAATTAACGGCAATTTTCTAAAACACAGAAAAAGGCGCTGCAGTACATTTTTACTGTATTCCCATTGCCAGTATTAATTTAAAATGAAATATTGACTTATTCAACTGACCTATCTTTTAAATAATATGATACTTTTATAAGAAATATGTTTCGAAACGAATGGAGTTCCTTCATTGTTGCAGGATATAAAACAAGTTCCATCGGTTCAGCAAACGGTTTTTCATCGTTCAACCATTCGTTTGCCAGGAAAAACCAACATTCATTAGTTTCATAGTCACGAACAACAAGCCGTTCAATATACCTGTAATGTCATACAAATATACCAATTATTAGGTAGATGAAGCACTGTATAAACATATAAATAACATGTACTGTATATATATGTTCACTTTCAATTTCGTTTATGCTCTATATTGTATAATCAAATCCAATTTTACCATTTTGGGTTGCTTCCCTCTTCATCTTGCCAAATATTCATAGATGTGATATCACCTACACATCGCAGTGATGTCATCAGAAATGTGACGACATTTCCGCGTGATAGAAAATGAATTGTATCATCGTGCTTCTGCAAAAGTATTCACTATCTTAGTTTAACATGATTTACATTTCATAAACCTACGACAATCTCTTTTAGCTGCACAGAGCAATATAACCGAATAGAATCGAACCCAAATAGTAATCATTATAATAATTCGTAATGCATTTGCTACAAGTTATGAGCAATACTTCAAATACTGGTATTACTTTGGTAATACATAGCACATACGTTTTAATATAACGGAATCAATTTCATGATATATATATAAGTTTAAAACATTTAATTTTTGCCTGCAACAAATGTAAAATGCTTTGCTGGTTTGTTCCATTTATCTTTACGGCAATTGTTGATGTTGGTGCGGCATGTTTTTGACTCCCAGTAAACACAGTCATTAGATATCGATATGAAACGAAAGGAACATTATCGCACACTTCCACGTATTGGTCCTGTAATTGAAATTCGTAACAATTCTTTATCGATCAGGGAGTATATTATGAATTCTTATCTTGAGAAAATTCATGTTAAAACAATATGGAAATTGTGTAAAAACATATAAAACGAATAAATCGAATTTATATTTACTAAGGTATTATGCAAAAAGTTTAAATAATCTTACAATCATCTCATAAAATAAATAAAAAGAATGTGAATAAAATGTATAGTTAAAAGAACTGTAGCTGGTCCAAATTGTTCATATTTATTTAAAAAATTTGCTTAAGGGTAAAGTTTTATTCGCAGTATTTCAAAAGCTATAACATGCATTTTATGCGCATGTAAAATCTTTATATATTTTAGAATTCTTCTTCTGTGCCACGAAACGTTTTAAGAAACTAAAATAAGCAAACAAGTTACCAAGTTTTTCATAATTTTATCTTGATATCTGGCCCATACTATCATTCCGCTGAAGACAATCACAATAATAGAAATAACGATCAGCACTATCGGGTTTTGTTCTAGTTCATCCTTAATGTTTTCAATCGTCTCTTCTACCTATCAAGTACGGAAGGCGGAAATAAGAACATGTTAAAGTTATGTACGAATGATTTACAAAAGTATGCTTTGATAAATTGTTGAATTTTACCCCAAAAAAGAAGCTTTAACAGTGTCTAATTAATAGTGAATACAGTTGGGTTACACCCAAGTCTATATAACTTTAAAACATATTGTCGTATAAAACTATTTTGTATACGAAAGCCTAAATTTCAATTCACCATTATCAGTATCATTCTGAGAAATATGTATTTGTCACAAGGGAAAAGTCAGTAGCAATAATACAAACTAGTCATATTCTTACATCCACTCCTCCTGTGTTGTTGATGTACTCAACAACGTTTAGTTCAATTTTGTTTGGTAATGGCGGTGAGAAGACAAGAAGCTTTGATGAAAAAATATTGAAGGATGTTGATGTTCCACTTAATCTCCCAGACTGTGTTTGACTCAGATCACATTCACACCAATCTAGATTGTCTGATTCATTTCCAGATGTTGCCTTATTGCAAAGATTATAAAGTTAATACTGACAGCGATTAGCAAACCCAATATTCTCGGCTGATTAATAATATGAATGAACCGACTTCTACCAACCTTGCAAAATGATGTGGTCCAATCTTTTATCATATCGTCCCAACGCATACACTTCATTGCGTATATTTTCATCGTTAAGTTAAACCTAATCTCAGGTGTTGAAGTTGTGTCTTTGATAGTTGTTTTGGATTCGACAGTTGTATTTACCAAATTAAGACTAGAGTTTGAAGCAGTTGCAATATTATCAGTAGTAGCGCTATCGCGATTTGAAATAAAATTTATACGAGATTGATTGGAATCTTCTGTCGTAGATGCAAGAATAAGAAACTCATGGTTTATTTTTCCTCTGTCATGAAAATGCAGTTTCCATGCATAACTATGATTTGAGAAATCTGTGGTAGAGACGGAAAAACAACATTTATAACGATAGCAAAGATACCGTCTATGCTAGCTTTAAGGCAAAAATAATGGCAACTTTGGTAAACATAGGCGACCACATCTTGATTAAAACATATAAAGAACATTGAAAAAGTTTGTTATCACCAAATAGGAAATATGAACAAAACTTTTTCGGTAGAACAAGAAAGATAGAAGTAAGAGATCATCATATAGATTTTACCTGCTTTGGTCAATATATGTGATTCGATATTTCCAATTTCATTCCTAATTGTAACATTCAACGTTACATTCTCCGGAAGATTTTTAGAATGCAGACGAACATTGACGAACATGTTTTCAAAAGTTTGAATGCCTAACGTAAAATTTTGAACGTCATTCTTGTAGTCCTTGATTTTAAATTCCATTTCTATAGAAGAATCAGGAATATGCTTGTCGGCATGCAGATAAATTTGAACAGGTTTTGAAGGAATCAGTGGATTTGTTATTGGTTTCAATAAGTTGTGAGTTTTATGAGTTGTTGAAAGTGAAATTGATGCAACTTCATCAACTTCAGACGTTTTTGTGTTGAATCTTGCTTTAGTTGGAAAGTATCGAATAACCTGAAAATGATATCTATGAGTTATTTGCGATTCAGTTTTTTTTCAAAAGGCAAGAATAATAAGAGGATTTGTAGCAAAAGCTATAAAATGAAAAAAAAAACTTAATTTGATTGTAGGTAGTTTATTAAACGAATGAAAGGTTGGAAAAAGGGAATTACCAAAGCAAATTTTGGAGCTCGATTGATTTTATTCAAATAGAAACAAATGATAACGAAGGTAACTTTCACAACTATTTGGTTCAGTAATGCAAAAGTTTTCTTAACGTCACAGATATTAGATTTTTCGTTGATGCTAATATCCGATAACAGCGAATGAGTTACCTGCAGATTGATAGTTTCTGTTTGTCTTATGCTTGACCAGTCACAATCGATTCTTGTTTTGACGTCTTCGCCATCCATGAATAAACCTGTTTTAAATGAATAGCTGTGTCGAATTTTTTCGGAATATTAGAATATTTGTCTGTTTATATATAGAGAATGAAATGTTGCAAGCAAAATTCTGTATTAAATTAATAAATGAATATAACAACTATTTTTGGAACAGTATGACATTTTTATAGTTTAGACGAGCATACTAGAGTTTCTTTCCATTTTCCTTAAATTCGCTTTGAACGCTGACGTTGTTACATTGATCGGTTCCTCTCCAGGTGTAACAGCTTTTAGAATCTCGGAGCCTAGCTGATCTATGACTGATGCTGTACGTTGAAACAATGGCGATGAGTCGGAACTACGGGTGCTCGAGGTCTAGAAAGAGAAAAAAGAAAACATGGTATCGAGAGTTTGCGGTGAAATTTAAATGAAATTAATACCATAGGCTGTTGGTACCGAGTAATGACACAGAAATTAGTCATATGTATTTCTAATTATATCGTTTATTCAAGTATAAGATATGCTTTTATTCGAAATATAAAACTGAAATTCCTGGCTTTGAAAGTGTTACCCTGTGTGTCATTGCAAAACCTTAGAGGACGATGACGATGCTAAATCTTGAAAGATTCTCAAGTGCTCTTTTGTTATTCTTAAAAACTTTTAGATTGTTACGTCATAGCTATCCAAACGAATTTTCAATTCAATTTTGATATAAAGCTGAACAGTGAAAAAATAGTCCTAAGTAAATGTTTGAAATCTGATGACAGACATAAATATTTTTTTCAAACCTCTCGCTAATCCGTTTTTTTTATTTGAAATAAATGATAAAATTGGTTTCAAAGTGTTAACCAATCCTGTTTGGGTGTTGTGTATTGTTATAGTAACAAGACTACTTCAAGTCCCCAAAATCTTATGATAACTAGTGATCAAAATCATTAACCTCATTAAAATCCGACATTGATTCCATCATATTGGATGATAGATGCATAGAAGATAACGCAACTGATTTCAAAATATCCGACGATGATTCTTCGTCATCACGAATCCATTCTTGTATTTCCGTCAGTTTTTCTACTAAATTTTTCTTAAATACAATAAACAAATTCATTTATCTTGGAAAATGGACATTTGTACTTGAATAGAATGTTTACTATAGTTGTCAACACTTACAATAACACCCGTTGGTAGCTTTCCTGCATTCTTAATCGATTCTTGTAAAACATCTGACATTTGTTTAGCCGATTCAGTCGATGTGAAATGTGAATTGGCAAACTTCGTAGTAATTTGTACTTTCTAAAATAAGTTTTTCGAATACATCAACCTTATTGCTATATTTTGGGTGTAGTTAACAATTTTGGTTATTTTATTATAGATAAACTTTAATGGAAGTGAGGAAACGAAGAATAAATATGTCTATTTTAACATAAAATTTTACTTTCGCGTGATGTAATTTTGTTATGTGAATAACGTTCAACAATAGGTTATTTTTCCTTAGAAGCACTGCTTCATAGTTTATGAACTGTAATTACGTTTCCCACCATAAGTATATGTAGGTGAATTAACACAAAATGCAAATTGTAACGTTATCGACATGTTGTAACGTAGCACAAGTGCAAAGTGTGAACAATCAGTATATAAAAGAAGATTACAGTTACTAACCGTTTCAATATCCAGCTCAACATGTTTCAATAATATTGCAGCAGACTTTGCGGCTTGTTGTAAATTTCCAGAATTGATTGCGTTAGATATTTGTGTTGGAATATCCTTGATGATCTTTTCAGCAATTTCATCAGGTGCCGACTTTACTTCAATGGTAACTTTTGTTTTAGTACAAGCATTCATCGACGAACACACTTGAATTCCAATGTGCGTGAATCCGGGAGGAAGAATAAGGTTTTCTAATGAGTCGTCATATCCATGCTGTAGCAAAGGATTTGTGCCATCTAAATAGAATATACTATAATGAAGTAAATCAAATTGACCACCAATTGAAAGAGCCATAGCCTATTTTAAATTACAGAGTCAAATACCATCGAATTGATCAGAGGTTAGCAATTTAGCGTATTTTCTATTTTAGCTCATGGTGAACAGTATGTGAGATCTGTTTACCAAGAGTAGAAGGCAATATACAATTTCA